CGCGAAGGCTGTCGCTCTGCAGGAAAAATAATCAGGTGTAAGAGCCCTACTCCGAGGTGTGTGTGTATATACCATGTCAGTGAGGTGTTCTTCCTGTCCCGACCATTGATACTTGTTTTCCTTTCATCCAGAAGTTTCTTCTTCCTTTTCCTGTAGGAAATGAATTAGTGGCAGAGAGGGCGATTGCTGTAAAAGATCTAGATGTCGCTGTCCCCAGGCTCCCCTCGTGCTCCTCCCAAGCTGATTCACTACACACAATGACTTTGGAAGGACTGAATGCTGGCACAGCTCAAATCGAGCAAGAGACTCAAATCTCGGTCACCTCTTGGCAGTTCTCAGCTTTGCGTCAGTGTGATACACGTTTTAGCTGGGAGCAGTTCGCTGATGCTGCTTTATGCTTTACAACAACAGAGAAATTTCATGTGGGAGGGAATACATCTGAAAACCTGTGTTTTTTTCCCTTCAGCTGATTGCTGCCTATCATTTAATATTTTGCCAGAATTCTAGGTAGGTCACCCTCTGTAGACACTCTGTCTTGGGAATACGAAGTGATTAAGGTAATGCATTAAGGAAAATATCTTCAATAAAGGCTTCTAAATCTGAAAAATTCAGATTCTCACAGAATCATCCATGTGCGTGGATCAAAATTTATTGCTGATGTGCTGCCATTTCAGTTAATGAGGTTTTGGTAGTAGTGAATTTAATCCCCTCCCCATTAAAAAGCACTTCATCCAGCAGACGCAAAACCACAGCTTTTTGGGGCTGGCTTATGTTCAGGAGCCACGATTTCAGTTTCTCACTCTTGCCTCTTGTCTCCCTCGTGGGACCTGCTCCAATTTCTTTTTATTTAAGGAAGAAAAATCAAAACATGGCGTATTTTAACAGTTCTTAGATTCCAAAAGTTTGTTCCCTGTGGCCATTTTTTAGGCAAAACACTCACATTTAGAGGATGTGCCGTGGTGCCCCGAATCCTGTGAACATTGAGGCTTGTACACAGGTGTGTAGAGGATATTTGAGAAAGTATTTTTTAGGTGAAAGCTTGTTATAAATGGTGGGTTTGAGGTGTTGTACTTTTATTTCCCTCCTCCCTGCATAAAGCTGTTGAAAGGATGATCTTTCCTGTAGTGAAAACACTAGCGTGAGTGAGTTTATCCTGCTGCAACTAACAGGGCTTATTTCAAGAGGGGAAATCAAGGACACAATTATTTTTTAAATAGTGAAAGTAGGTCCCAGTGGCTGTGCCTGGTACAGCGTCCGGTGTCTCTGGCCGGGCTGCAGACGATTTTTTAATCACTTGAGGCAGGAACTCCCCCGGCTCCACGTGGCACACGTGAAATCACGCAGCACAGTCGGAGGCAGAACGCGCTTTCCGCTCTCTCCGTACGTGACGCACCACGTGGGCAGTGAAGCAGCGCCTAGGAATTGCTGGTTGTCGTCGCTGACCCCTAGAAAGTTGTCTTTAAAAACCCTTGGACATCATTTTTCCTGTTCTTAGTATATACTAACACAGGAATTAGTATATACTAAATCATTGAGGAAGGGATGCAGAGCAGGTAACTACTAAAATGTGCTGCAAACGAGGCAGGTAACGCGTCTCACCACTTCTGTGAAGTAACACGCAACCTAATTGCGGACTAAAAGTCACACGCTAATTATCACTCATCATCTCATTCATTATCCTATTACCATATTATAATTGATCATCTGATAACATTATTTTAGTAACATTGTTCTACAGCGTTTCCAATAGTCCAGTTGGTTGCGGAGCTTCCCGCCAACACGGCTGGATGTAGGTTAAACCCTCAGCGAGTGTGAACTTCCAGCAGGTCCCTGAGTTCTGGGGGGGCAATCGTGTGTTGCCTTCGTGTCTTTATCCCTCTGCTGCCTACGGCGTGCTGGGAAGGTGGAACCTAACCAAGTGGGCACGGTGTTTTCCGCTTACGGCATGTTAAACTGGTGCTTTACTACCCCGGCAGGCTGGGGTTTGCTGGGGTTTGGGGGGCGTTTTGGTAGAAGAACTTTGCTTTCTTGGAGGTAAGAAGCAGAATGGCAGATACTTTCTGGAGGAAAAACTAACAGGGTGTCCTGTTCCTTGTGTGCTGTTTGTAGGTTTTTTTATTTCGTCGATGTTTTCCTGAAATACGGGATCACCTTACTTGGGATTAATCTGGGATATTGCCTTGGCCATGAAAAGTTTACGTTGTTTCAGCGCTTCTTGAAGCTGGGCTGTTCGCTGCCTTCTGGGGACCAGTTACCGGAGTTCCTAAGTTACGCGGTGAAAGCGCGGGGGGAGCACAAGGAGTGGCTGCCCTATCTGCTCCTGGCGGGGTTTGATCCAGTGCAGTTGATGCGCAGAATCTGGTAAGCAGATGGTATCATCTCCTTTACTTAATTACGGCGTGCTAATCGGCCCGATAGAAGGCAGAGCTGGGCCAAGGCTGGGAGGAGAGGAACCGGGTGCTGTTAGAAGTTGCGTTAAACAGTGATGTAGCAGAAATCCCGGTCTGATTTTGGGGTGGTTTTCCGTTCTTCCACAGACAAATAAGCGCTTGGTGATGGTTTATATTTAATTAGGCAAACAGAATTGAGCTTAGAGTCAAAATTATGAAGCATTTATATTTTCCTCTGTTTTTTTTCTTATCGGTGAAGACGACACTTAGACTTTACTAGCGTGTGCCTCAGCTGTTAGCAACGTGACGTGAGATGTATAAACGCGTCACATACGTGACCTAACGCTGTGAAAGCAGCAGGATTTTAAGGTGTATTTAAATACTAATTTATAGTTCAGATACTGTTACAATATCATGGTTAAGGTATTGTCGGTCGTAACTGTAATGCGCTGGAGTCTTGACCCCTTATTAAAATGTAGGTGGTAATTGAGTAAGAAATTAGTGCAGAGGTGAGTGCTGCTTGTTTCTGAGGCGTTTAAATTTCAGAGCAGATAGTTTTTCCTTACGGTATTTTTAGAAGGAATGGAGGAAGGTAACATTACATTAGTAAAGGCTTGTGCTGCCAACGTGACTTTGGATTTCACCCTAATGGTTTCCTGTTTCTGGGCTCAGGGTGGAGGCTGTTACGGTGTTGTTAGAAAATAGCAAAGCTTTCTCTACCTTGTTTCCATTATTGTATTTATGCTGTTGTGTCAAATGGTGGTTTATGGGAGTTTCTGTTATGCAGGATTTTCTCTGTGAGCGAGAATGTCCTTAATTTCATCCTGGAGTTCACGAACTGGAAAAGACTTCCTCCAGCTGTAGAGCAAGACCTTGCAGACTACAAGGAGAAGTTCACCTGGATTCCCAAGAGCCATTTTGGTAAGCAATACACTTAGGAACAAAACGTCTCTGCGTATCCAGGCTGCCCAGGGAAGCAGTGGAGTCACCATCCCGGGAGGTGTTCAAGGAATAGAATCACTGAACGGTTCGGGTTGGAAGGGACCTTAAAGATCATCCAGTTCCAACCCCCCTGCCATGGGCAGGGACACCTTCCACTAGACCAGGTTGCTCCAAGCCTCATCCGGCCTGGCCTTGAACACTTCCAGGGATGGGGCAGCCACAGCTTCTCTGGGCAACCTGGCCCAGTGCCTCCCCACCCTCTCCGTGAAGAACTTCTTCCTGATATCTAATCTAAACCTCCCCACTTTCAAGTTAAACCCATTACCCCTTGTCCTGTCACTACAGGCCCTTGGAAAAATCCCCCCCCAGCTTCCTTGTAGCCCCTCCAGGTACTGGAAGGCTGCAATAAGGTCTCCCCGGAGCCTTCCCTTCTCCAGGCTGAACAAGCCCAACTCTCAGCCTGTCCCCACAGCAGAGGGGCTCCAGCCCTCGGAGCATCTTTGTGGCCTCCTCTGGACTCACTCCAACCAGTCAATATCCTTTGGATGTTGCGGAGCGTGTAGATGTGGGGCATGAGGACACAGTCTAGTGGGTAGGGTAGTGTTGGGGTGATGGTTGGACTGCATGATCTTACAGGTCTTTTCCAACCTGTGTGATTCTGTGATTCTATCCCGGCTTCCAGGCTGTAAGCGGGAAAGGGCTCTTTGTGCTAATGCACGATGGCAAAGAAGCTTCAGTAGTCGATAGACGTGGCTTGTCCAGAAACTGGGGAGCAGACATAGCAGAAATACTGACACGTATTTGTTTGTTGTCACTCCCGTAATCAAAATGTGGTCAGCCGAAATGATTCCATAACTGGTTGTCCAGGAAAACACCAGTTCTCACTCGTTCGCCCTTCGGGAAAGCAGCTTTAACATACAGGTCGTGCTCTGTGCATTGGAAAATTGCACCCGGGTGTCTTGGTTAGCAGCTCGTGCGAAGGCAAATCCTTCTTTAAAAGGGTCTGTAATCATTTTTAAAATGTCAAAGTGATGATGTTATTTAATAGCAGCTTCAGAATATTAGAAGCTAATTGGGATATCGGAGTTAAAGCAAAAAGGTTTCACTGGGGGAAACTTAGCTGAAGTTCTTTCTCTGGAGTTACACGCTCGCTGTACTTACCCTTCTGTACTGAACGACACAGGGCCCTGCAGTTAGCCCTACACATCCCCTGGGAATAAAGTCAATGGAGAAGCCGCTCCAGGCGCGCCTGGGGGCGCTGGTGTTCTGTGTGGGGAGAAGTTCTAGACGTTCCCGTAACGTGAGGTCTGCGTGTGAGCGAAGGCGGGTTCGTGCATCTCTTGGCACAGCTTGTCCCGGGTCAGGTTATTTAGCCACATGGTAGAATATTTGGCATCATGCCAGCTGAGGCGTGCTGTCATTTAATACTTCCCCTAAAAGTGGGTTTCCCTTGTCTTATTTTGTTGCTTGATTTACTTTGTTACATCCTTCTGGTCCTTCTTGGGACAAGAAAGGGGATTTGGTGGTCTCCAGGTTTTCCTTCCAACCATTGTTAGTGGGAGTCTGCCAGTTACTGTGAAATTGGTCAGAACCTATCTGTATTGCTCTAGAAAAGCTTTCCTTCTTCTGCAACCGAGTTGTTCTGTGCACAGTAGTAGCCACCGAAGTGCCAGCACCTACCCCGGCGTCTCTCAGTGGCAAGAGAACCTGCTGCTAAGCACTCAGCGCTGCTTGTTGACGGCAAAGCACTCCAGTCCTGCGGACTTATTCCCGACAGGACTGCAGCCTACGCTACCCAGCATCCTTCTGCTACCAACACCAACAGCCTACGAAGAGAGGCAGCTGGGGGCACAACTACTGTTGCCCTGGGATTTGACCTTTATTTAAGCCCACAATCCAATGCAAATAATCCCTTTTTTGCATCAAATCCCTCTATTGAATATCTGGCAGCGGTGCTGGGATGAGGGTTAACCTCTCGTCATTGACAACCATGACCCAAAGTCCCCTTTTGGGTGGAAATGAGGGAATTTTGCTGCCTCAGCGTTTGTACTCCAAGAAATCTCAAACTGTGTTTTTCCAGCCCACGTGTAATAACAAACCCTGTTCCCGATCACTGCGATCCTGCTGAGACCGCTCCAAAGGTGCCTCGCACCCTTTGGCTACCACGTTAGTGTGGCTAAAACTACGGCAAGGCGCAGAATGTTAACGATGAAGGTAGGCAGGAAATTATCCCATCAACAAAAGGCCCTTGATCGGGGAAACCAAGCGGCTGAGGCGAGTTCCACCCACAGTCCCTTTGCAAATCCCAAGGAAGCCTGATCTGCCAGGTGCTAACGGGAATGGTCTAGCCCGTGTAGACGGGCAGGCACAGAGCCATGCCTGCCCACTGACACCAAACCAGAATAACAGAGGTGTCCACGCCCTGATTCAACTGCATGACATCCTTAATTGCAACGAGGCAGTAGGGCTTTCTGCAGTACCCCTGCTCACTCGATTCATGTAGGATACGGAGTATTGCATTAGTAATAAGAAGGGAATCGGAAGGCTGAACTCTTTAAAAAAAAGCTGTGGTCTGGAGAAGGCTGACTGCTTGGTTTCACAGAATCGCTGAGGTTGGGAAGGACCTGTAAGTGTGTAGACGTGGCGCTCCTCCAAGGAGCGTGTAGTCACGGGCTTGAGGACACAGTCTGGTGGGCAGGGTAGTGTTGGGGTGATGGTTGGACTGCATGATCTTAGAATCATAGAATGGTTTGGGTTGGAAGGGACCTTAAAGATCATCCAGTTCCACCCCCCCTGCCATGGGCAGGGACCCCTTCCACTAGCCCAGGTTGCTCCAAGCCTCATCCAGCCTGGCCTTGGACACTTCCAGGGATGGGGCATCCACAGCTTCTCTGGGCAACCTGTTCCAGTCCTTCCCCATCCTCTCCAGGAAGAATTTCTTCCTGACATCTAATCTAAACCTCCCTGATTTCAATTTATACCCGTTACCCCTTGTCCTGTCACTACAGGCCCTTGTAAAAAGTCCTCTCCCAGCACCCTTGTAGCCCCTTCAGATACTGGAAAGCTGCAATGAAGTCTCCTTGGAGCCTCCTCTTCTCCAGGCTGAACAAGCCCAATTCTTGCAGCCTTTCGTCATAGGAGAGGGGCTCTTGTAGGTCTTTTCCAACCTGTGGGATTCTGTGATACTTCTAGACTTGATTTTCCATTCCTTGCCAGGTGGCACGAGCCTCTCTCCCCCCCAGGCAGGTGGCTGTTCTGGGCTGGGTGATGGAACTTTCTGATTAAGGATAAAATGCTGCTTCGACACTTTCTTCCTAGAAATTGAGGGTAGAAATTTTCTAGCTCCTGTAGGGAATTTCCGAAAATGCTGATCCTAGTGGACAACCACCCTTGGCTTTTGAGAACTCGCTATCTGCCAGAGCGACGGGGGGAGTGGGGTTCAGGTGGGATCCAGCCAAAGCCAGTGACCGTAGGCAGGCGCTGTAACCCCGTGGTGTCCTGCTCACTGACTTGGGTTTTTCACTTTCAGCCGTCATCCCTTCCCTGTCTCATCTCTGCCGTCTTGAGATCCGGTCCATTTTAACGAGCCAACGCCTGCGATCGGACCGGTTTATCCGGGAATTGCCTCTGCCGGCGTGTCTCCAGGATTACCTTCTCTACTTAGATGTACTGCGAGTCAACGCTATCCCAGAAGCGGAGGATTATCTGGGGCGGGGAGAGGAGGGAGCTCCCTCTACCAGTTGCTCCGGCGCTGAAGATGCAGAGAGGAGGGACGCCTGTAAAGCCAGTGCGAGGTGACTGTAAATAGCTGTCCGTAGGAATGACTCTTTTCACGCTCCGGTTTCATACTTTATCTAGAAGTTTGTCGCAAGTCCTACGATTTCCGTGTTTAAAAAGTCTGTTGTAGCTTTCTGAGTCTGGGAACACTTTATGGTTTTTGAAAGGGCATTTTTAACTCTTACGGAATAAAACTAGCTTGTTCAACGATCACCCTGACAGAGCGGTTGAAATCTGCGTGGTCAGACACCGGTAGCAGAGGCTTTATTCTAAGGACTGCAGATACCAAATGAAATTACCATTAAGTCAAGGAACACAATCTTGTATTATCGCTATGAATTTGTGAAGGGGTGATCTAGCTGAACCACAAATAGGAAAATAATATAGGGAAGGAAATATTTTGCTGAAGGAACAGTGATTTTCTTTTTTCCCCCCTTTCCTTGGTCACCTGTTATTTGGTGGAACGTCGGAGCAGGAGGCTGGCTCAGGGCCTGCACCCCATCCCCTCCCCTTGCGTGGCCTGCGGGCCAGGCGCGCAACGTCCCCACAGCACACGGGCACGACACCGCTGCCCAAAACATCCCTCCTTCAGGGAAGTGACAAAGTGACTGTCCTCATGGGGGGGTGATGGGGACAAGGCAGGGACACCTCGCTGGAAGACAGCTGCCATCCCTCACGCTGGGGGAGCCTGCGGAGGTGAAGACGGTGCCACTGGGCTCACTGGTAGTAGATGCTGAAGGCGTGGAGGATGTACAGGAAGGTCGTGATGAAGGCGAAGAACTGTACGAGAGGAAGAAGAGCAAAAGCTGGGGTCAGCTGGGAGGGTCTAACCCCCTCTCCTCTCAGCGCTCGACCTGGGGAGACATCTCCAGCCTCAAAGAGGCAAAGCCTCCAATTTCCAAGGCTGTCCCTGAGCTGCTGGACCCCAGAAGCCCACCCTGGCTGCAGGATGCAGCAGAGCCGAAGCTCTGACCAGCGTGATGCTGCTGGCCTTGGGCTGGCTTTGCTGCGTCTCCTCGAGGGGGGAGCTGGGGGTGTTGGGGCCTGCCTGGGGCGTTCTGGGCCGACTCACCGACGCAGCGCTGTTGAGCTGGTAGTACAGCGGCGAGTTGGGGCCGAACTCGGAGCGGATGGTCGCGTTGGCTTGCAGGACAGCCGCGCTCATGTACAGAATGGCTGTAGCGCCGTGGTACAAACTGTCCTGCAAAACAAGGGTGCGGTGAGGATCAACACCTGCCCGGGACCGTCCTCTTCCAGTTTACCAAGGAGGAGGTCCATCCTCTGCACTGAGAGTGCTCGAATGGGACACACCCTCCGGAGAGGGGCCAGCACCAAATCCTTGTACCCTGCCTAACCCTCGGCACAGCACGGCCCCCCTGGTGTTTCCAGTCACGTTGTTCGCAGAAGGCTCGCGGCTGCCCGGCTGACCCATTGTCACCCACAGTGGCCTTGCGCCCGCGCTGCTGCTGCCACCACCTGCCCGTGTCCCAGCCCCTCCTTACCAGCACTTTCCAGTTCTCGCTGTTTCTGTGCAGGCCGAAGAGGTAGCTTAGGAGGAGCAGCAGGGAGACGAGGCAGGAGCTGAGCGACACGTACATCACCCATCCCTGCAGCAGCGGGAAGGAGACGGAGGTAGCAGCGACGAGGATCCACACCCAGGTCCCGCAGAGCTGCCAGAGTCAAACACGGGCACCTCCAATGAGCGTGGGATGGGGAAAGCCCCTTCTCCTCCCTGAGTCCCTCCCGGGGCAGCCCCAGCAGCCATAGGAAGCCCTGGGGCAACATGGACCAACCTCCCAGAGCATCCTTGCACAACAACCTGGCATGACTTTCCCTGAACACTCCTGGGAAATATTCCTTCAGAGAATCTCTTTGAGAAGGGAAAGGTTTGCTGCCGCCTCTGACGCAAGGAAACATCTCACCCCGAGGGCTTTGGTGGAGAAGCCAGAACGTGTGCTTTTACCTGGGAAACGTGAACGGCCGCTTGGGTTCAGCCCTGCCCGTGCCTTAATCTCCTGGGCCTGAAGTCACAGCATGAGGAAGTCTCCTCCAGACTCCACGCACCGGCCCAGAGTGAATCCTTGCTTCTGGATCCACCCAAAATATTTACTGCGCGCAGATAGCGCATGGGGTTAATCAGGATTACCTCCGCGCTGCCCTGTGCTGCTCCAGCTCCGGTGGATGAAACTCCCCCAGCGTCGCAGCCGGGAGCTGAGCTCACCAGCACGGGCAGCTCATGGCCAAACCCAGGCACAGCGCTCGCTCCTGCCGAGCTTGGGTGGCGTGGGTCGCCGGCACCGTGTCACGTATCAAAGTACACAGCCGTTATCTCAGCCAGGCCCACCGGATGCCCTCTGCACCCAGAAGCAATTGAGGGATTCATGGAATGTCATACTTTACAAGACACCCAGCTACCTTCAAGCCTTTGCTTAATACGGAGAATGGAATTCCCTTGGTTTTTCCAAGCAATTTTCCAAGCAATTTCTATGCAATAAGTAGAGCTGCTTCTGCCCCGGAGGAGCCGGCAGCTCTTTGGCCCCCCTCCGGCAGCTGAAACCCCTCGCCCGGCCTGTGCACTGGAGCCGCAACGTGCCTGGTCTTCAGGCTGCTCCCACACAACCCCTGTGGCGCAGACCGCCTTTGCCCAGTCAGAATGAGCTACGAGATGCTGCCCTCGGGACCGTTTTGGGGGGCTGCTCCCCCAGCTTCAGAGCCGTGAGCGGGGTGCCGTAACGCAGCGGAGCTCGGCATACTCACTATCTCCGGCAGGATGAAGGCGTAGGGGACGGTTTTGAAGACGGCGGGTCCGGAGGGCAAGGCGGGCTGCGTGGAGGCCGCGGGGGGACACACTGAGGCCATCTCTTCTCAGCTTGACACCACGACCGCTCCCGGCTCAGCTCCGCTCGCGTTTCCCTGCGCCGCCCCGCTCCCGTGCTGGGTTTTAACCGACACACCCGCAGGGACGTAATCGCAGAAACCAGCCCGGGCTGGCACCGCGCCGCTTCCTCCGGCTGAAGGAGCCCGCGGCAGCCCTCTGGTTAGTGTGGATGGCTTCACCCACCCTGCTGCCGGAATGGCAGCGGGACCCTGGCCCTGCCACCGGCATCACCCCCCTTAAGGAGGTGGGGGCTGAATTCCACACCACGCCAGGGCAGAAACATTCCCCGCAATCCAGTTTTCCCCTTGGCACACTTCCAAGCCTAGAATATTTTCACTTCCACCGTTGTTGCCTCCTCCCCTTTCTGTTCAGGTTTCTGCTCTGTCAGACTCCCCCACCGGGCACATCCAGCCTTCCAACACTGGCTGCCAAACGTTCTTTACGGACAACATGACGCGCTGGTAAAGGACGGGAGGGTTTGCCTGCCTCCTGCTCGGTGCCCGGAAAGGCCTGAAGGACAGCTGCTGGGACAGCTTTGACTTCTCCCTCCTGGCAGTGGCGCTTGGGATAGGACAAGCGCAGGCTGTTTTTTCCAGAGGACTCTGCCTTGGCACTAACTGGGGGGATGAAAGGCTGAAGGTGGCATCTCGCAGCCTAGTGCGGTCGTTCCCCCTAACTCGGGCAACGCTCTGCGGCAGGAGGACACGATATCCTAGTAAGATACCGTATCTCTCTCAGGAGAGCCAAGTGATGCCCTAGGCATTTGCCTTCTGTGCCAAGCTCTTGTGCAATACAGAGCAAAGATCAAATCCATGATGTTCCTCGTTTTCTGAGGCCAGGGGGAAGTCTCTGGAGGCTCCGGTTTACACCTGCTGTCAGCAGGAGCTGGCTGCGGGCTCCACGCAGTGCGCGGTGGTCTTGGAAAGACCTTGGTTTAACCCACTTCACACCTGATGACCAGCCCCTGGCTCAGACTTAAATCCCCGTCCGTCACCATGCAGAAAGCATCCACACAGCCAGCACCAAGGAGAAAGCGGATGAGTAATTTCCCAGTGGGAGCGGGCAGTTCGTACAGCCGGCGGTTACGGACCGCCCGGGGAAAAGAAGCCTTTAACGTCCTGGGCCACCTGAGGAAGATGCCGGCATAGCCGTGCGCAGGGGAAAGGCAGCGTGCCCCCAGTTCTCACCAGCTGCTGTTTGTGTTAGGTGGGTCAAGCACATTCCTAGTAACCCAACCTTTTCCTGAGAGAGAAAGAAAAGCAGCAAAACGACCTAAATATGGAGCAAACAGGTGTCCACAGGGTTTTTTCTTAACCTGGCTGACCTTGCTCAGCAGCATTCTTCAAGATCATTGCTGTTTTCCTTGCTGTTACCCGCCTACTGGGGTCCTGGGACAGGGAGTCTTTTGTTCCCCCTGATTAACACAAAACTGGAAGTAAACTGGAAGCTGAGTGTGAGGAGGAAAGCGCTGCCTCAGCATTTGCTCAGCTTAGGGAAAACAGAACACTCAACGGTGGCTACATCAGGTACAGTGGCTTCATCAGGTACGTGTAACAACAGACAACCACAGCCTTGTCTCGGAAAATTTAAAGTATAATTTCCATTAGTCAGAGAGATAAGTCTCTCAAAACGACAGTATGTTACAGTGCTCGTTACGACTCGGATACTTTCCTTTCTGTAAGAATTTATCTGCGTTGTTCTGTTCTTCTACAATCCATTCATTCTCCAGCATTGTTTTTCCTCACTTCTCCCAAGAAATCGTAAGCCAGCTCGGCGATATCAAAGGCTTTGTGAGTGTTTTCCGACGACAGCAGATACTGAAGCGCACCGTCGTTCTCTCGGCTCTTTTTCAAAAAGTCAGCAATCGCTTTCCAGCGAGACGCTTCAGACTCTTCCTCGGCCCACTTGTATTCCGGAAGTAGAGTGGACCAGAGGAGAGGGAGGACAGAGTCGTGGTACACCAGGACAAACAGGGACTTCAGGAACTCTCCATCTCTCTGCAGAGAAGAGTATTTGACAGTCCTTCAGTGCACATACGTGGTGTTGCCAAGCACTTCTCCAGAGGAAGGGGAAAAACCAGGCAAGAAAACATTCAACCAACCCCCAGTTCCCTGGATAACAACGGGAAGAGGTTGGACTTTCC